CAGCTAAATAGTATCAGTGCAGCAGCCTGATTCCTGGCCAAGTGGAATCCAGTTCTCTTATTCAACAGTTGTATAATATTTTACAAGCAGCAGCCCAGATCGCTACCTTGTGTTAGGATGCATCTCAGACCTTCACTGAAATTGGTCAGATTTGAGGAGGTGTCCCTGACAGCAAATTTAGAACAGTGAGTTTATTGACATGCACGTTTGAGCCTGGGAAAGGCTCACTGAAGTGCAGGGGTTTTGTTTTTAATAACTTGATTGCTAAAGTTTGTGAAAGGTTTAAAATCACGGCTACAATGCTAAGAACTTTAATTCTTTCATTAGACTGTGCATAATCTCAGCTCAGTTGCGGGGGGAGGGTCCTTAATTTCACCCATGGGCAAGCACGGTCATTTACTTCCATCCCTGCTTCCTCCTCTACAAAAACACTCACTCAACTCACTCTTGGATTTTTTTTTTTTCCTTCTGGCATTAAAACTGTTCTTAAAATGCAGAAGGCTGTAGGGTTTCTCATCAGTAGAATCAAACAGAAGATCAAAAAATATAATTAAATGACTTTAATTTCTTTGCCAAAAACAAATTGTTATTTCTTTATTTTGGGTGACTTTATCACGCCTGTAAGGGAATCATTTTCATCAGAGCTGTCAGTGTGATCCTTCCTTAGGAATGGATTGATCTTTTGAAAGTAATGTGAAATTGAAATAAATATTTCAAATAAGAAAAGCATAAAAGAATTATATGCCTTAATAGTCAGGGAATTCACACTGAAGACAGTGTTTAAACAAAAATTACATGGGAGTAATTGATCAGATATTGCTCTGTACTGAAGACTTCATCTGTTCAACAGATGTAACATTTTTGTAATGCTATAAAGAGGAAATGTTGTAAAATAATACTGGAAATAAGTTACTATATGGAAAAGTCATATATTTTAGATTTGTCATTTGTTTACCGTGTATAAGACATTTAAAGGTCAAAAGTTACCTGTATTGCACATACTTGCAATAGGACAGTGAATTTTGCCTGTGCTAGACTAAGTAAAGTTGAAAATCTTTGCTTGCTCTTTTTCTCCAAATAAAGAGCAAACCAAAGACTAAATCGGTCGATTTTAAAGGTTACGGATGGCAAAGTGGAATAGACCTCGACTTGTTTTGTCAGGCTATCTTGATGAACCTGTGTGGCAGTTACAAACATTTCCATGATGTGCTCATCTTCTTGCTGGTTTCTATTCTACGTCATGGAGAGATTCCTTTCATTTTCTGACTGTCTTTCAGAATTCTTGATATGGCTTTAGTTTTATTCTAATATATTTGTTTCCTTTAGATTTCAGTTGCATTATAATTTTTCTAGACCTCTATATCTAGAGGTTGGAAGAATTTTACTCTAGGAAAAGTAAACTTGGCATACCATTCGCTCTGTTGTAGAGGACCTCTATTCTCCCAATCTGTGGTCCGGATTTTCTTTGCTTTACCGTGAGCAAAGAAGAGCGAAAGAGAAATGTTCTTTAAAGGGTATCTGATTTGCTTTCTAGACATTACTAGACAGGAGGTCCTACCATATTGTCTGTCTATTGAGAGTACAAGGTCTACCTCATGGCTGGCTTTCTAGCTTTGCTGTGCAAGTTGCTAGAGTTTTTGTGTGTTGGAATGTATTCATTTGCTCTTTTCTCAATCTGTAGCGCACATGTATTTCCCCTTGGAAGACTGTAGGAGTGCAGTCATCTGCATATCAAGAGCATTTACTTCATTGGCTCCTGTTTTCCACACACAGGACGCGCCCATCCCAGAATGCTCTCATGTTGGTTTATTCCTCCTAATTAGCACAGGGCATGCACGTGAGGGTGACCAAGAAAGCCTCTGCAGCTCTTTCAACCTTCTACCTTGGCAATATTGCAGTTGAGTTTTCTGGGTTGGAGGTCCTGTGCTACTAGTTCACCGTATCGAAAATGAATGCTGCCCGTAATTTGGCTGGCATGAATTTTTTTTCAAATGAGTATTTAGGGGGATAGTAAGCATGGGAAGGATCAGATTCTATATTGAACCTAAACCAGGGCAGTGTGGAGCTCTTCCTAAATTATTTATATCCAAGGGGCCAAGTCTCACCTTTGTCTTACAGGACAGAGGGGGTCGCAGGACATTTTTGAGCATGGCAGAAATGCATAGTGTCACTTCAGGTTTCTATGTCTTAGACCTTATCTGAAGAAAGGCAGTCTCCCTGCATGTCACTGCCCATGAGGGTGGCAGTCCCAGGACCACTTCTGCTTGAAAGGCAGGTCCTGTTTTCTCAGGATGGGATTATAAAGCCAAGGTCGCATCCTATTGCATTGCAGTTATATAGTAATAAAGCATAGGTCCAAAGGGCTTGTGCTACCTTCTTGTAAAGTTCCTTAGTCTGGTAAAACTTATTCTTCATTTCCGCTCTTCTACTTGCTGAACTCCAGAAAACCTGGTCTCGTTACTGGGTTTGCTTGCTTGCTTGTTTTTCCTTTTCTGCTTTGAGAAGCTTGATCCTGAGATTGGCAACAATGCTGGTAGGTTATTTATGTATTTTGCCTGATTATCTCATGGTGATATGCTTTTTTTTTTTTTTTTTTTTTTAGCTTGGAATACAATGAGATGAAGTATTTCAATCTTTAGTAAAATCCGCTCTGTGTCTGTGTATTTGAATCAACCACTTGTTTTTACTTGGTTTGATATTAAGGGTGGGACTGAAGCAGTCTCACGTAACCTTGATCAGATCATAGAGTTCTAAGTGTTCTTGCTTGTAACTTCGTCAGCAGACTAACAGCAGGTAAGGGATTAACAGGTTTCTCAATACCAATCACAGGCAAAGATGTACGTGGAAAAAATCTTGCTGTTAAACTAAACTTAGTTTAAATTCATCCTGTGTCAAAGGATGGTATGGAACGCTTTTAGTATGTTAAGTTGTGGTTATGGCATGGAAAGTAACTGTGTTTAAAACAAAGCCTTTCAAATCACACACTTTGTGTATTATTTAAATAGACTCTTTAAATTAACTCTTGTTGTGGAGTGCTTTTGTTTTGTCCTTTATGATCATCATAGCTGTGATAGAGAAAGCTGAATATTTTTTCTGACTTGTATGCAATATTGCTAACAGACTTCTCAGCGTGTTCTGACTGCAGTTGCTGGAGACATTCAGAAAACAGCAGTACTTGCAGGTCCAGGACAGAGCTAGAGTTGTGGTTTTCAGGCTGTGTTTCACGTGCCCCTGGGATCTACTTTCTACTACTGAGAAGTTTCAGAAAGTTGACTAAGAAAGCAAAACCTATGCTATGTATCACTCAACAAATGTGAACTTTAAAGGGATCTGCTTCCATTAAAATTGTTTCCAAGATCTTTCAGTTGGGAAAATGTTGAAAACCAGACATTTAAAGCAATTGCAGTATTTCAAGAGAATACATAGTCACTGTTGTGGAAAAGTTCATGTAAGGTCACCTGAATTGTTGCCGAGTTAAAGAGATTATGTAGGAATGTCTTTCCCTCTCCTTTTTCTAGCTACTGTGAAGGAAACAGACCTGCACTGTCCTTTTTTGAACAAAAGAAAAGGAGATTTATAGTATTTTAAGAGGCCATGACTGTGTCATGCTAAAAGCAGTACACGTTGTTTCGCATTTTATGGATGTAAAGTAAACATCACCAGTCAGCATATACCCTATCCTTTATGATGCCTGATTGTTTTTTTTTTTAATTATTTTTACTTTTTTCTTTCACTGAAGAATTTTGCACAAGTTTGCAGTCACTTCTGTGGTTGATAAAGAATATTTTAAAAGTAGCCAAATAAAAATGATACTACCATTTTTAGTGTTGTAAATTGGCATTAAGGTGCCTGGCCTTGTTTGTCTGTTCCTTCCCTTCGGAAAATCAGACGCTGCTTTATATTATTGCTGGGGAACAAACATGCATTTAGCATGCTCTCAGTCCACTTCCAGCTCCTCTATGGGCTTCAGTCTCAGTTGTTCTCTCCTTCTCCCTTGAAATATGAAGTCTCTTCAGTTTCAGTGATTTTCAGTCTCATGCTTATTCTGTTACCATTGCCGCCTTTCCCCTCTCTGTTGGCTTTGAGACCTGGAATTTGCATTTTCAAGTAAATCATAATAAAAACTAGTTCTGCAAGGTTCAGGACACTTGCTTTCTCCTTTTACTCCTGCCCTCTTTGGTTACTTTTCTCTGTCAATAGCACTGTATCAGAGATTTTCCTCAGTTTTACAGGAAAGCTGCTTTTTTTTTTTTTATTTATTTTTTTTAGGTTTCATTTGAGAAACATATTTGTATATGAATCCATATAGCTACTTATATTGATGCAGTTGCTGTCACAAAGGGTGAGAATTAGGTAGGTAATTCATAAATTGATCTGAAATCTTTCATTGGTTACACTGCACGGTTGTTGAGCTGACTGTATTCAAGAGACTCCTTTGGCACGATACAGATTCATATTAAGCTACCATATCCCTCACTATTTGCTACAAATACCACCTTTGCCCAAACGACTGGCTAAAGAGCAAATAAGCTTGGGAAGAACCAGACTCTACATTAAATGAACCTAAACTGGTGTAGTGCAGAGCTCTGACCAAACTACTAATTGCCAAGGGACCAAGCCCTTGATATCAAAGGTATCTGGTGAAAGTTACCTTTGCCTTAAAGGGCAGAGGGATCTGAGCATAAGAAGAATCCTGTTTTTTTTTTCTTCTTTTTTTTTTTCTTCATAGATAAATAAATCAGGAGTTCTGTTCTGTTCAGGGATATACAGAAAGCGAAGCTAATTTGGTGAACAATACAGCCTTGAACTTTTTATCATCACCTCTGCAGGGAGGAGAGTAGAAGCTACAAGTTAGTGGCTGATGACTGCATGACTCATTGACCATCTATAGCATAAAAAGTGAATAGTGGGGGAAGTATTCCTGTAGAATAAAAGTTGCCATATGCTAGTAAGTATGGCAGTAGTTCTCCCTGCATATTAGTAGACTATGATATCTGTTATAAACATAGAAATGGAAAGGAAGTATCTGCATCAGAGCTGATCGTATAATGTCTTCATGAGTTCTCACTGAAACGTGCAATTTCGAGGCATTGTAGTGATTTTTCACAAGCTGAAACATGTCACAGAAATTACTGGTCAAGTGCTAATTAGATAGCATGGAGGAGCTGAATCATTTCCCAACTGTTTTATGTGATGAAGTTCTCATTTTGCTGTCTGCCTGACACTTTGGAAATTCAGACTGTCTGTTTAGTCTTTTCATTGGTGAGAATACAGCTCTTTTAACTGGTGAAGAGCTGCTTTGGTATTGATAGTGTTCAGTGAAAAAAAATTATTTTTTTTTTTGAGCACGGTTTTGCCGTTGTTTGACTCAATGACTACATTTTGCAGGTTTTATTCATTGTTACCTTTTTTGGAGAGTTAGTGTCATTTTTCTATGTTATTGCTTTTCAGCCTCTGTATGTTCTTTGCAGTGTAAAAAAAAAAAAAAAGTAATTATTCTCTTTGTGTGCCCTAAAAACAGGCATATTAAAAAATTCAGGCAGTAAGCCTAGATAATATTTCTTTGTATATCCTCAAAAAATATTTTACTGCTTTTTCCATCTATATTATACTAAAATCTGACTTAAAGTAGGCTTGAATCCAGTCAGAAGAGGTCACTGGGATATTAATCATCAAAATGAATCCTCTTAAACATGTGGTTGGTGCGAAGCCAGCTCTTCAGATGTGGAACAGCATGCCTGTGTTGCTTATCTATGTGGCTGTTTGCTAGCGGAGTAAAACTTTGAGTTTGTGTTGGTGTTTTGTCTCTATAAAGTACGTTGTTTGCAAGTTTATTCAGCTTTTCTGTATGTAGCTCATCGCGTGTGTAGCCTCCTGGAAAATGAGTTCTCTTCAGAGTATCTGCAAAGGGCTATGCGCTCTTAATGTACTGTGGTAAGAAGTGGTATCATTCATATTTGACCTTTTCTTGATGTTTCCCTATGAAGTATGATGAGCCAAAACTAATACTGCTTCAGAGCAGAGGAAGAGACAGTATTTCAAGTACATAATGCTGTGGAACCCAAATGTAGCTGAATGAAGCCTCAACCTAGCTCCACTCCTGCAGATTTGACTTGGGCAGAACGTTCATTTATGGAAATATAAATCTATCTTGAGTCACATCTGGACTGGACCCAGTATTTCTGAGTGTCTTTTCATGGCAGCATACTTCTTACTCAACAAAATAATGATTATTTCATATTTTAATTGTGGAACTGATTCATCCCATGGGGCATGGAAAGCAGGCAGTGGGAGCGAGTGCACCAGTAAAAAATTACTGTTCTAAGAGAGGAAGAGGTAAAAATAAAATGCAACAGTATTGAAAAGTTGCATAAAAAGAAAAATGGCTTGCATTACAGGATTTTTTTATATTATGCTTTATATTATGCTTTTATTATGTTTGAAGGGAATGTATTTTTTTAATAACATCTTACACTTCCTTTCACAATAAATTGTTAATTTTCTTTTTGCCTTTGTTTCTTAAGGAGAAGGATGAAAGCTCGAGCTCCTCCTCCACCAAATCAACCTTCTGCAGCAAGTAGAATTCACAGTGAGCAGAAGCCACCTGCAGAGATAGCTGCAATTTCTGATCAGAGCCTTGTGAGCATGAAGGAGAACATGATTAACAGATTGGTGGACTTCACAGTCATTTTACCTGGTGGGATTGAGCAGAAGAGCACAGTACAAGGAAGGTAAGGCATTGATTAGCTCCCTTGTTCAGGAGTTTTTTCCATTACATTACGTTTCCATACATACTTGTGATCAGTGATACAGAGTCTAGTTGGAAGCCTGTATCTAGCGGTGTCCCCCATGGATCAAAGCTGGGCTCAGTATTGTTTAACTTATTCATCAATGACTTGGACGAAGGAATAGAGTGCACCCTCAGCAAGTTTGCTGATGATACTAAACTGGGGGGAGTGGCTGACACAGCAGAAGACTGTGCTGCCATTCAGAGGGACCTGGACAAGCTGGAGAGGTGGGCGGAGAGGGACCTCCTGAAGTTCAACAAAGGCAAGTGCACGGTCCTGCACCTAGGGAGAAATAATCCCATGCAGCAGTACAGGCTGGGGGTTGACCTGCTGGAAAGCAGCTCTGCAGAGAAGGACCTGGGAGTCCTCCTGGTGGACAAGTTAAGCATGAGCCAGCAGTGTGCCCTTGTGGCCAAGAAGGCCAATGGTCTCCTGGGCTGCATTAGGCAGTGTTGCCAGCAGGTGGAGGGAGGTGATCCTGCCCCTCTCCTCAGCCCTGGTGAGGCCTCACCTGGAGTCCTGTGTCCAGTTCTGGGCTCCCCAGTACAAGAGAGACATGGC